CCTGGGAATGGGAAGGGTCCTGGAAAGGGTAAGGGTTCTGGGAAGGGGAACGGTTGTGGGACTGGGAAGGGTCCTGGGCCAAGGGAAGGGCCCTGGTGTCTGCCTTTCACTGCTGGTTTTTCCCACAGTTGGGCTTCAACATCCGGGGAGGAAAAGCCTCCCAGCTGGGGATCTTCATCTCCAAGGTGTGTCCATCCCTGTCCATCCCCCCTGGATCCAGCTCAGGCTGGGGTTTCCCACACTCAGCCCCTCCTGTGGCACTGCTGGGTCCCTTCCCAGCCCCGGGAATTGCCGGGGCTGAGCCTTCCCTGCTCCCTGTGCTGCCCGGTGCCCCGTGGGTGCTGAGGGCGCTGTGGGAGGGTCGGTGCCCAGCCCGTGCCATCCCTGTGCCCAGGTGATCCCCGACTCGGACGCGCACAGGGCGGGGCTGCAGGAGGGGGACCAGGTGCTGTCGGTGAACGACGTGGATTTCCAGGACATCGAGCACAGCAAGGTGAGCTGGGGCAGGGGGGGCATCCAGGCCCTTCCAGCCCCTCCCCACGGGGCCAGGGAACGCTCTGCCCTGCCCAGCCCTGCCCAGCCCTGCCCAGCCCTTGTTTTCCAGGCCGTGGAGATCCTGAAGACGGCCCGGGAGATCACGATGCGCGTGCGCTACTTCCCCTACAGTGAGTGGGGCCGGGGCTCCGGGGCAGCACCTTCCAGCCATCCCTGCCACCTCCCCCGAGTCTGGCAGGGCACAGACGGGGATCTGGGATCAGGCACCACCTCAGGACAATGAGGGAAACTTGGGGAGCGGGGCTGAGCCACCCCGTGCTGGAAGGGGGGATGGTGGGGAAGGACAAAGGTAATTTAGGGCTCCAGAAGCAGCTGATTATCCCTGGATAACACAGGAATGAGCTCTGGCACCAGTGCCAGATACCTCTCCCTAGGGATGCTGGAATGGTGAGTGAAGGGAAGGTCTGTGCTCACTCCCAAGTTCTGCTTCTGCTCCCATAAAGTTCAAAGATTTAAGGGATAAGAAAAGAGATCAAGCCAAGCCAAACAGGGTTTCTTCCTGAAATGGAAACTAGCCACAAAAAGCAAAACAGGGAGTGGGGGAAGAGAGGGTTTAAAACAAACTTGCTCTCAGTGCCCTGAAATGAGGGGCTGGGATGCAAAGGTGCAATTGCAAAGGCAGAGGGGCCCGAGCTCTGCCTCTGCCTGGGCAGGTGCTACCAGAAGGTGTTTTCCTGCCCCTGGGGGTGATTCCCCCGTTGCTCAGGCTCTGCCTCTCCCCCAGATTACCAGCGGCAGAAGGAACGGACTGTTCACTAACGGGGAGCTCTGCTGGGGCTCCTCCTGCACAAACCTCTCCTGCTCTCCCACCTCCTGAGATGGCCCAGCACGCTCAGCTCCCACTGGAGGCACAGCTGTGCCCTGCCTGGAGAGATGCCCAGAGTCTTACCCAGCTGGAGGCTGGAGGGGATTGAGCCTGTGCTCCTGAGTGGGGCTGGAACAGCTGCTGGGAACTGGGGACGAGGGAGCTGCTCCAGCACCATCCCTGCTCCTCTTTCAGCAGGACTTGAGTGAGTGCTGTGCTGGCTCTGGATCCCTTGGCCCTGGAAGCTTTGCTGGGATGGAAAAGCATCCAGCAGCTCAGGGGCTGAGGCTCCTGAGCAAAGCAGGGGCCTTGTCCTCCAAGAAATCCCCCTGTTCCCTTCTGTCATGCCATGGAATTCTTTCCTTCTCCTCTGTGCCACCTCTGCTCTTCTCTGCTGGGTTTGCTGGGGGATCCAGGAGTAAAACCCACCCAAACTCAGTGCCCAGCTCTGGCTGCACTGGGCTCTTTGTGCCTCTGTGCTGTGAATGACCCCGGGATACAGGGCTGGGGTGTTTGGAAATGTTAATTATCAGCAAATGTGGGTGACAATGCCTGCTGGGATCACATTGTAATGGCTTCGGGACAACCCTGGCTCTGCCCTTCTCTTCCTTGTGGTGTTTTCCACTTCATCTATAAAAACAATAAAATGAGTACAGCAACCCAAATCCAGCTTATTCCCGCCCAGGAAGTCTGTGTGCAGGGTTTTTCATTCCCACCTTCAGAAAATGCTGGGACAAGGCTCAGCTCCAGCCTGCAGGAGAAAATTTGGGATCCACAGGAGGTGCACCTCTGTTTCAGGGTGTTTTTCCACTGACTGTGCTGGAAGTCAGCCCTGATGAACCTGGAACATGTTCCAGCACTGCCAGGAGCTGCTCTAGGGGGGTTTATCTGTGGTGGCACCAACACAACTCCACCACTGCCTGGGGCACCGGGCAGTGAGGGGCAGAAAATACACTAGAAAAGAGATTTTTCACTCAGAATTAAAAATTAGTTTTTCTACCAGGGAAATGAGCACACTGGAAACCCCACTGTGAGACCCTGGGGAGGCAAGGTAGGAGCTCTTCTGCTGCCACAGGTCTCTGTGTCCCATGGGATATTCACTTCTCTGGTCTTACACCATTTCCCAGCACTCCCATGTTTTTTGGGGAAGGAGGAATTCTCTCCACAGGGAACTGCAAATACAACCATAATGTTCAATTTGTTCATCCTTCTTCAGAGTAATCCCTGGCAGGAGCTCCAGGAAGGTCTCCCCTGCCTTGGGCAGCTTCCTCCCTGCCCTTACAGGGAATGACTCAGGAGCTTCCCTGCCAACCTCGGCTAACAGGAAAGAGTGGAGATTCTTTCCCAGACACATTCATGTCTTGGGTGTTTTAATTATCAAAGCATTAAGGCCATCACAGTCCATTTCATCTTCCGGAACCTGAGGGACAGGTTGTTTTCCCTGGTGGGAAAACAACAGCTCCAGCAACTCTGGATTTTTTTAGTGACTTACAAAACTGAAGCTGAGAGGTGCAAACTTTACAGAATCCTGGAATGGTTTGGGTGGGATTTGCCTTCCAGCAACAAGTAATTTGTCTTCCCAACCCCTGGCCATCACTCAGAGCTCGCTGGCTGCTGTTTCACAGATTAAATCTCCTTTCTTGCTGAGCAGGTTTGGAAGTAAACGAAAATCAAACATCAAAGAACAGCCTTTCTTAAGAAAATTGTTACATATTCCACATTTTGCAAACATGTCAGCAGAGAAAAGTCCTTCCAACTGTCTCTTCTGCTTCTCTGTTCCTCCTCCATCCCTCCTCCTCTTCCGTCTGTCTGTCCCTCCTCCTCCATCTTTCCTCCTTCTTCCTCCTCCTTCTTTCCTTTTACTGTCTCTCCTCCTCCTCCTCCTTCCTTCTCCTTTTCCTCCTCCATCCCTCCTCCTCCTCCCTCCCTTTCCTGCCCCTCCTTCCTTCCTCTGCCATCCCTCCTCCTCCTTCCTCCTGTGTCCCTCCTCCTCCTCCTCCCTCCCCTGCTCTGTACAGGCTGGTCACCCCTCGCAGTGAGTCCCCCTGTGGCACCAGGCCAGCGCAGGTGTTGGTGAAATAACTTTATTTATTGGTTGTGATACAGGGCTGTGTCAGACAGTCCATACTCAGAGTAATAGTCACACGTACTCGCTACAGCTACGAGACAGCGGGGCCGACACACACGGCATTGAACACACCAGAGAGGACAGAGGGAAGGGAACTATTCATTTCACTAATTACCCCCCACCCCGTCAGTGGGGTCTCCCCCCTCCCTCCCCGCTCCGCCACTCCAACAACACGACAGGGGGGCAGCGGGGCCGCCGGGAGGGGGGACAGCAACACACAGGGACACAGCGACACCAGCGATCCCAACGGGTATGTACAGGGACAGGGAGAGGGATCCACCTCCCGGCACCGCCACTGCCGGGAGGGGGGGACAGGGGACACTCCACAGGGAATGGGGAACCACAGCCCAGCTTCCTCCTGCAGCCCAGCTCACCCCGAGGGGAAGGGGAACAAACTGCCATCCCAGGGACTGCCAGATCCCAGCCCGAGCTGCCCCTTCCCCTCCTCGGGGCCCGCGGGCTCCACACACGGGGTCAGGGACACCCTGGCAGGGCAGGGGAGGGACTGTGGTCACACCGTGCTCAGTCCCTCTCCTGCCACCAGCATCCTCCCCGTGACACAGCCCGGGGGGGGAAAGGACAGTGAAATTCTCCTCTCTGCCAACTGACAAACCTCCTGACTTCTGTTAGGGCAGATGGACCCAAAAAACCCACTAAAATCTCTGAAAATCTCTGAAAACCAGGGACAGTGGGGAGAGGAGGCATTTCCCAACCTCCAAAGTTGGGAAGTGACACCAGAATTCCTTTCAGCAGCAGACAATCCCCCATTCCTGCACCCACTCTGACAGTCACTCCCTGCTCCCCTCAGCTTTAGCAGCTTAAAATCACCTCAGCAGTGAAAGGGCTGCTGGCCCCATCCCAGAGTTCTGCTCCAAAGGCAGAGGCAGCTGGGTGGGATCCCATCAAGCAGCAACCTGGGAATGACAGTGGAATGCTGCCCTTCCATCTGCTGTGGCTCTCCTGCTCCACGAGAAGCAGTTCCCCAACTATGAGATGAGGAACAGGAGAATGCAGATCAGGAAAGGAGCCTGAGCCAAATCCATGACTGCCAGGGCAGGTATTGCCCCAGCAGTGATGGATTTCAGGTCACTGTTCGCTTTCAGAATCCCTGAGGATCTCTCCCCACCCAGCCTCATGCTGCAAAGCCTCTGTTCCCTCCTCCTCCTTCCCTACACCAACACTCACCGAGCACCAGCATCCTCTGGATGGGAAGAGATTCCAACTGAGGAGAGCAGGCTGTGGGATGTCTCTGCTACACAAACAGGAGCAACAAGGCCAAAGCTTTCAGAGTTTGGGGCTTTCCAGTGCTGTGTGTGACATGAGGGGCAAAACTTGGAAGTTGTGAGCAAGAGTTAGCCAGGATCATCACCAGGAAGGAGGAACCAAGGAGCCAATGTTGTGTGTGCCCTGTGGGAAGCAAAGCCTAGGAACAGGTGACCTGGGCTGTCCAAAAAGGCAAGGCCAAGTCCAAGGGACTGGTTTAAAGGAGCAGGCTTCCCAGAGGAGGTGGGGATGCAGGACAGGCAGGGCAGGGAGCTGGCTGGGATGCAAGGCAGTAGGGAAGGTGGAAAACCCACCCCCAAAGCTTCATTTTTGTCTTCCCTAATGTGGCGGCTTTTCCATGGCATTCACAAGATACAGGGGAGCAGGTGGGCTCGAGGTGGGGAAGAGGGGGAGAAGGGGAGGGGGAGAAGGGGAGGAAGAGAGGGACAGAGAGAGAGAGAGTGTAAAGGGCACCACGGTGCCAAAGTGCAACAACATAAAAAAATAAACTCAAAAGACAGGACACTCATTCTGCACTCAGGGCTCATACCATGCAGTGAGAGGGGCGGCCGGGGCTGCTCCCCACCAGTAAACAGGGAGGTCGCTCTCAGGAGCTGTTTTCCAGCCCCACATAGGGATGCCTGGGCAATGAGTGATGTTCTCAGGGCATGGCTGGCAGGTGCTGTTAGCAGGAGCACCCGCTCTCCGTGACTGGCTGCTCGGGGGGCTTCTCTAGTTTGATGTCAATCACTGCAGGGGGGGTTAAGGAAATCACCCAGTTGAAGGAGAACAAGAAGGACAGAAAAGGGAAAGGGTTGTTAGTGGTCCCCCCATGGTGTTTGAGCAGAGCATGTTCTGCCTGAACAGGATTCACTGCAAAGCCAGGGGACTTGGCACGTTGAGACCCCTTAGAGGATGGAGCCCAACTGGACAGGTCTGTGCAAAAAGAATGAAGAATTACAGCATTTTAAAACTACACAGATTTCATCCTCAGTTCAAGTGGAGATTTAAAACCTGTGCTTTAGTTGCCCTTAGTTGTGTACATTTATCTACAGCCCATGAACAGGGTCACAGAATCACAGACTGGTTTAGGTTGGAAGGGACCCAAAAGCCCATCCAGTCCCACCCCCTGCCATGGGCAGGGACACCTCCCACTATCCCAGGTTGCTCCAAGCCCTGTCCAACCTGGCCTTGGACACTTCCAGGGATGGGGCAACCTGTGCCAGGGTCTTATCACTCTCACAGCCAAGAATTCCTTCCCAATATCCCGTCTAACCCTCTGCAGTGAGAAGCCATTTCCCCTTGTCCTGTCACTCCAGGCCCTTGTAAATATTCCCTCCCCATATTTCTTGCAGGCTTAGGTCTCCCTAAGCCTTCTCTTTTCCAGACTGAACAATCCCAATTCTCTCAGCCTTTCCTCACAGCAGAGCTGCTCCATCCCTCTGATCAACTTGGTGCCTCCTCTGGACACATTCCAACAGCTCCATGTCCTGTTTCAGCCACGTCCCTGCAAAGCCCCATCCCCACAATGTGCCAAAAGCAATCAGTGAGCCCAATTTAACAACAGATAATTGTCCAGTTCCCTGGGAAAGCAAGGATACTGTCTTCTTTGCTCTTCTCTGGTGTGCTGTCCATCCCAGGTAAGGCAGCAGCCACACGGCGGAAAAGCTGGAAAGCAGGAAGAGGAAAGCTCAGGGCTTGTCAGAGAAAATGCCAGTTAAAAACAGTTTTACAGCAGAACTCTGAGCTGTACCAAGTTGTTACGTGGGTACTTTAGCAAGCAAAGCACTGATCAACAATGCCACGAGAATGTTACCTAGGAAATTTAACAGGTTTCAATAAAGAAGTTATTCAATGCCTACAAAACAGGCAGTTTTATTTTATCTGTTTCTGCTTGAACAGAACACAGAATTTATTAGTAACAGTTCTTCCAGGGATTCATGGACCAACTCCCTCCTGCACTCACTAACCACGTCCCAGCCTCTGCTTCTGCACCCAGTGATGTTCCAGGGCACATCTGGGGATTTGTGATGTCACTTCACAAGGTTTAAGGAGTTTTACAGCCCATCCCTTCAGTTCAGTCCTGCTGCCAAACAGTCTTTCCTGGGCAGAACAGCTGGTTCAAGTGAGCTGCATGCAAGCTATTAAGGATGTGCTGGAGCTGGGAAGGGCTATTATATCTCCATAAAACCCAGAAAATGGTTTTGCATAATTTCTGAACTCAATGCCTGGAGCTCCTCCTGCTGCCATTACACGGCCCAGGCACTGCCAGGCTGCTGAGCTGCTGCACAAAGAACCAGAGGAATCATCTGCTAACGACGATTTTCCTCACAGCAGCTTGGCAGGGGCTTCTCATCCACCCCCCAAAGTGTGTTCCTTGGAAAATCAAGGTCCCAGCAAGGTGCTGCAGTTGCATCCTCCTAATCACAGAAGCTCTCACTGCAAACACCCACTGGGCAAATAAAGCAACAAGAGTTAAACCAAAGACCAAAGTGGATTCAATCCAGAACAGCCAAAAAAGTCTCACTGTGGGTTCTCCCAACCTGCTGCTGTGCAGCAACCTGGGGAGGGGGTTTTCCAGCTGACAAAGCTCCCTGCAGGCCCCTGGAGCTCCCAGCTCCTCACTCCAAGCTCTGTCACATTCAGAACAACCTCTGAACTAGTGGAGGGTGGCATCACAAACTTACAGCGAGAGGCGATGGGCACAAACAGAAACATGAGAAATTCTGCTTAAATAAAAAATGTGAAGTTGTGGTTTTTGGTTGTTTTTTTTTGCTGTATGGCTCATCAAACACTGGCAGGCTGGCTGGAGAGACAGTGTCTGTCCTTTGAGATTCCAAACTCAGCTGGAGCCAGCTCTGGGAAGCCTGCTCTGAGTCTAAGGGCTGGAAAAGATGATTTCCAGAGATCCCTTCCAACCTCAGCTATTCTAAGATATTCCAGGATTCTCTGTGGTTTGTTAACAGAAAGGAACTTCCAGTGATGTCAACAGTGTCAACTGCACTAATTGGTAACAAAACCAAGCAAATTCCATCTGACTGGCTCCACAAAACAGGGATTTTTTTTCCCCTTCCCATCCTCAGCACATTCTGGGGTTGGCTCTCCTTTCTTCCAAGGTTTTCTTAGCTTGGACAGGGAATCACTGACTCGACAGGAAAGGAGCTTCCACTACTACTGCAGAGCTGATGGTGATCACTGGGCAAGAAACATCTCAAGGGGTTGGCATTAAACACAAGCAAATCCCTGCTGGATCAGGAACCCCAAGCAGGGGCCAACACACACAGAGCAGGGACAGATTCCTGATTTTAGAACAGAACACGGATGTACCTGTTTCACATTGTATCCAGTCTTTGCACTGGTCTCAATAAACATCACATTCAGCTCTTTGGCTCTCTGTTCACCTTCTTCTGTAGTGATTTGCCTGGAGGAAGGTGCCAACGGGAGCAGAAAGACAGAAAGGAACAGAAGGAAGAGTTAGAGACGTCTGTGACTGAGCTGGTGGTCAGTGCTCACCCACCTCCCAGGAGGCACAGCCCACCAAGGGACACCTCAGGGCCCTCGAGGATTCACAACCCCCAGCTGGGAATGAAACCACCCCAGGGAACACCTGGAGTGGTGACAATCAGTAAGAGATGATCAGCACAGGATGGAGCTTGTGCAGCACATCTGAGCCTCTTTCACAGCACCCTGCAGGGAAGGAAGAACCCCCCACACTGCACCTGAGACAGAGAGTTCCCCAAAGCCAACAGAAGGGAATATTGTGAGGTGACACAGAGATTCCAGAAAGGCTCCAGCAGCAAGGACGGCCTGGGAGCAAGGACCTGGAATTGCATCTCTGAGCACCACCCTGGACATACCTGTCTCACATTATATCCTGCTCTAGCACCAGTTTCAACTACATCATATTCAGTTCTGGGGCTTTTCTCTCACCCTCCTCTATAAAAACCTGTCTACAGCAAGGAGAACAAATCACAGAGCAGAGAAAGCAAACCAGAGAAAAAGAGTCCAAAAATGAGAAAAGGAAAACTGCAGGGGAAAAAAAAACACCAGCCCAAACTGAAGCAACAGTGACTGGAATGAAAAACTTCACAGGCTTCACTGAACAAGAACAGGGCTATTTTTAGTCCAGCTTTTTGGCCTCAGAACTAAGCTTGGTTTTTATCAGAGGATGAATGGCTTCCCATACTCTGTGTTCTACCTCAGAAAATGTCACCTGTGGCTTTGTCCAGCCTTAACAGGCACAGCATTTCAGCCTCACACAAACCCAACTTCCTTTGAAAAGGAACAAGGAGAAACTGTGCCATGAACTCACAGCTGCACGTGCACAGAGAGCTGGGCAAACTGGATTACTGAAAATGAGCAGATTTCCTTGCCTTTGCAAAGCAGCTTTCTGGCTTTATCTCAGCGTGAAATACAAAATCAAACAATATACACTATTGAGAAACAAAGTGTAGAGCTACTTAATTTCAGTGAAAGGAAGATTTTTAGGTGGGTTTATTTTAACCAAAACTATTTGCAGAACAGCAAAAGGGAATAATTTCTGCTGCAACCAGAAACCTGAATTTCACAACAAGGAATTTATGTCCCGTTTCAAATCGACAATTTTTAAGATTGTTTCAAACTAATTTTTAAAGCCAGGCTGGGCAGCCAGTCCTGGCTTTTCCTGGCCAGGGCAGCAGGGCCCAGCTCTCCTCGTTACCTCTTGTCTGCCAGGTCGGTTTTGTTCCCCACCAACATGATGATGACGTCGCTCCCTCGCTCTGTCCGAACGTCATCGATCCACTTGGAGGTTTGCTGGAAAGAATTCAAGTCTGTAGGGAAGAACAAATGGGAGCGCTGAGCACAAACAAAACTGCTCTTCAGAGAGAGGGGCAACGCTTTGCTTGTACTCAGGTGCTTCACCACATAACCCACAAATTGTTGGAAAAACAGGGAGGAGGGGGGGAAACACTTGCAATTTTCACCGTGTTTGAGCAGAAGCCGTGGCTGTCAGTGGTCAGTGGGGGGCAGGAGGGCTGTTTGGAGGCACGAGCCCCCGCGGGCACTCACTTGTGATGTCGTAGACCACGACGGCGATGGTGGAGTCGCGGATGTAGCTGGGGATGAGGCTGCGGAAGCGCTCCTGCCCCGCCGTGTCCCAGAGCTGCAGCCGCACCTGCTGGGACAGCCCGGGAGAGGGGCAGGGGAGAGAACACAGAGCACGACACTGCCCTTTAGACAGGGGGCACTGCCACAGCCCCCTGCAGCAGCTCGGAGAGCCGAGCCACCCGTGGCACTGACCCCGGTGTCCCACCACCACACCAGAGGCTTCCCAACTCTGTGGATAATGTGCTTTATCAACCTCCTTTGCTTGTCTACAGAGCCTGCCATTCCCAAACTGCTTCATGGATAATGTGCTTTATCAACCTCCTTTGCTTGTCTACAGAGCCTGCCATTCCCAAACTGCTCCATGGATAATGTGCTTTAACGACCTCCTTTGCTTGTCTACAGAGCCTGCCATTCCCAAACTGCTCTAGGATACAGCCACCACCTCCTCGCTGGGGTGTGTGAGGATGTTTCAGCTTGAAGTGCTGGAACTGCCTGGTTTACTTCATGTTCCCTTTGCCAACTGACACCAACAATTACATTAAAAAACTTTTTAAAAAATAGTAAATAATAATGTCTAAATAATTTAAATAACAAATATATTAAATATAATAAATATTTATAATTATAAATATAACAAATAATATAGTGTATATTATATAATAAATAATATAGCATATTATACATTATATAATATTATATTATATATTATATATAATATAATTATTATATATTATCATCATATAATATATAATACACTATATTATTTATTATATAATATATAATTATATTAGAACATTAGAATAAAATAATAATAAGATAATAATAGTATATAATATTATTATTAAATAATAACAACAATTATATTATATAATTGTATCATAACAATTATATTATATTATAGATATTAACATAACTATAAAATAATACTAATATAAAATAAAAATAATATTAAATAATAATATAATCTAAAAATAATAATAAAATAAAAATCAGGTCTCCCTGGTCTACCCAGGATTCTGGATCTCCACAGGACTCCAAGCCCAAAGCAATTCTGAGCAAAGCTTTTGGGGCAATTCCCACACAACAGACATGCAATTCCCTCAGCCCAGACACCACATAAGGAAAAGAGCATCCAATCTCCAGCACCAGCACCCAGATGATGGCAATGGGGATTTTCATGAGAGATTAAAGCAATCAATAAATTAAGTTCCAGCAGAAATGGAAGCAAATGTTACACACTGCAGGCTCCAGGTGATGGGAAGGGCATTGGGGTCACCCTTCCAGAGCAGCACAGGGGGCAGAAAAGGCACAAATGCTGTGAGAGGCACAGTTTGAGCCCCAAACACACTCTGAGCTGTTAGAGATGGCAGCTCCAAGGTCTGGGACCTGCCCATCTGAACCACAACTGCCCAAAACATGCCCAATCCCCCAGCGAACCAAAGCTTTTACACTGGAAGTGACACCTTTTCCTTTCCCACAGGGCTGTGCACTGCCAGAAAACAGGACTGCTTGGCATTCCCAAAGGCTTTTATGGGGGCAGACACTGGTTCCCAGCTCCCTGACAGGAGCCTGGTCCCAGCACTGGGGCAGAGCAGTGGTTAATAAGGCAGCAAAAAGCAGCTTCACAAGGACCAGTAATTCCTTGTTTAGAAGAGAAATAGAAGCTGATTGAGCTGCAAAGCCGCTGGTTACAGGCAGATTCAAAACAAGATCTTATCTCCATCAGGGTATGTAGATCTGATGCCCTGGGGCTTAAGGAAGATTAGGAATTACAGTTAAAGCAATTAGTTCTTGCTTCATTTGGAAGGCAGACTTGATTACAGGACCGAAAGTCAGGGTTTTTCTCTACCCCAGGAAACTCGAAGTGACAAACTCGGAGCACCGGGGCAGTGTCACATCGGAGCTGGAAGATCAGATGGATCAGCACAGCTCCTGGACTTCCCAAGCTTCCCCACGCTGCCCAGAGAGTTATACCGGAATATTCACCATGAAACTGGACCCAGATGGTGATTTAACACTCCACCCTTCAGACTCACAGGCAAAAAGGCAACAGAAGAAGCAGCACAGGCCTGGCCCACGTAATTTGTTTAGTGCAGGTGATGCTCTTTGAGGGAAGCCCTTCAGGACCTGTGCAGGTCCCACACAGACACTCCTGCAGTGACCTGAGTTTGCTGCAATATTTCTGTGGCTTCTCATTTCTACAAGTCAGAGTTCGTGTGCACCCCCTTTTGGAGGGGAAAATATAAATAACTCCCTATGGAACACTAAGAATTAACCCTTAAAAACAATGTTCAGGAGGGGCCTGAGCTGCAGGCTGGACTCTCACCACGGCTCTCCCCGCCTGCATTTTGGGATGCCCAGCAGAGCAACAATAACTAAACAGTTTCTTCACGCCCTCAGAAGCACCTGAGCACGTTCCTTCAGTAACACAAGAAAACTTAAGAGCCTCTCACTCACTAAGAGCTAAGGGCAGTAGCAAGAAAACAATGACATTATCTGCAAAGCCTGTTGCTAAAGTCCATGAGATCAGCGATCACTGAATTACTTCTGACATGTCTGGAAGATGTTAAGAACAGCCTGGACTGGCAACACTTTTCCACCTGCCTGGATAAACAGCATCCTGCACCTGCACAGCAGGAAAAATGATGCCAAGCTGTGCATCCTGCCACACTGCCTCACCCCAGAGAGGTCCCAGCACAGCTCAGTGCTCCTCAAACCCCAAACAGGGCAGTTCTATGTTAGTTTGCACCAAACCAGGAATTCTCCCACAGAATAATTCAGCTACAGTACTGGGAGAAAGACCATGTCATTATCTGCCCTCAGTATAGAGGATAAATCATAGCAGAAGTCAATTATTTGTTAAGCAATTCAGCCAAGGAGAGTGGAACAAACCCCTCGTCCTCACTATAATCCAGTCTGGAACAGAATAAAGGTGGGCCAGAGGTTTTTCCACCTCTGCTGTGCTCTTTCCTTAAATTTTGCCCACATGGTGTTGGCTCACTGGTATAAATCCTGACACTGTAGATGAACAAAAAACTCCACCAGATCAATTTGGAATCAATAACAAGGAGTCACAATGAAACAATCCTATTCATATTTTCCTAACCTGAACTAAAACATTCATGTCAAGAGTTACGGAGAATTTCCTTCTAAGCTTGTTTATTCTTTAGAAATTCTGGTAGTTGCATCTCTCCTCTTTCAAAATTGGGATATGAATCTCCAGTTCTCTTTTTCAAGGGAATGGGAATCTTGAATCCTCCTAAGTCACTCCACAGCTCCTGTGTGAATGGGTGTTGTGCTGTTTTACCTACTCTGACAGTGTTCCTTTGCTTTGGCCCCTGAAGCTGGTACTTGTACAAATTATATATATATGTATGTATGTATTTTCTCTAGAAAGGAAAAAAAATAATTCTGAAGTAAAAAAACAAACAAAAAAACCCAAACCAAAACAAAAAAAAACCCAAAAAAACCAAAAACAACCAAAAAACACAACAGAAAAATAATAGTTTTCCAAAGATTTCCAACCACCTGCCATTGCAACCAGCCCAGACAGAGCAATTCCCAATCCCTGCTCAGCCCTCAGCCAACACCCACAGTTGGTCTATTTTAGCTCTTTTTGGGTACCACCACCACCACCACCACTTCCAGCACATAAAGATCCATGTTAAAAGCAAGGTCCCTGCAGACCTCTGGCTCAATACCTACTTGTGGTGCCAAAGACAATGAGAGCCACGGCAGAGTCACGGGTGGAGCTGGGGAGGAGGCTGAGGGACCTCTCCTGGCCGGCTGTGCCCCACAGCTGCAGCCTGATCTGGGAAATGGAGAAGTGCAGGGGGGAAGGGGAAGGGGGGAGAGCAGGAAAACGGAAAACAAAAACCAAAACTCAAGTGAAATAAAAATAAATAAATAAATGAGAAAAAAAAACAAAACTAACTGCAAAGCAAAACTGAGGCAACGAAAGGAAAGTTCAAACGGAACAGAACCGTGGAAAGAGGCAGCGACACTTCTGAGCCTCACAGGGACCTCAGCACACCAACACCATCCCACACACCAACACCATCCACCCAGCTATCCCTAAAAACCCCTTCTCACACCACCTGCTAACGAGGGAAATACATGGAAACACCTCAGTGACCCTGCCTCCAGCTGGTGGATGTGTGACTCCTGTCCCTAAGGAACACATCACCAGGGGTGGATCAACGCACAGGGAATCCAGAGGTGGTAAAACACAGCAGTGGGAGACGAGCCAGAACAGCAGCTACCCTCCAGACTGGCTTATCTTGCACTTACATCCTACAAGGGACACCTTCCACTAGCCCAGGTTGCTCCAAGCCCTGTCCAACCTGGCCTTGGACACTTCCAGGGATGGGGAGCCCCTTCTGCTGGTTTGTCCAGACCCTGATCAGAGCTGTGATGGAGCACAGGTGTAATTCCAGGATATATTATTTGCTGTAAGGACATATCAAATTCACCAAAGCCCACACCCCAGCTGGAGGCTCAGCATTCTTCCATTTCCAGCCCAGAAATCAAAGCTTATTGCAAAAGGCAGCATGAGCCACATCTGAGGAACTATTTCAGCATCTGAATCTTCCCAGCTTGTGTGTTTGTATTTGTCTCTCCTCTTATCTACATTCCACACCTCTGTTATTTAAACAGGCTCCATGGGCTCTGTGGGCCACTTACATAATCAGAAAAACTAACAGTATTTGGAATGAAAATGGTATTTTGTGGATAGCAGGGCAGCAGGTGAATAACATCCTGACCTACACAACCATGAGAAATCAACATTCCATTGGTGGAAACAGCACACAGACATTCCACTGTGCCCTCACAGGTGTCAAGCAGCATTCCCAGGATCTTTGCCCTCTTCTGCCAGCACCGCTGAAGAATGGTATCCATTAATTCCCCCAAAGAAAGGTTAAGGAAGATCTTTTCTCATAGTGAATCACAGGTGAGATGGCAGAGAAGCTCCCAGGTAACTCATCACACACACTGGGCTCAGATTTCCTTGGAAGCAACAGACCCAAAGCAACACACAGGACTGTCCCCTCCTCCCCCCAGCACTGTCACACTCCTCACACAGCAGTAAAACCAGCAAAAAAGGCAAACAGTAGCAAAACATGAACAAAAACACAAACACTGAAAGGCAGGGAAGGGGTGGGAGGGGTCTCTATGCAAAAAGGAATTTCATGCAGGCTAAATCCAAAATTGCTTTACTACAGTGGCTCAGAACTGTGTTACAACAGGAGCTTTCTATGAGCAGGGACAAGGTCTAATCACGAATGACTTCAAGCCTGGGAACAACAACTCCTGTAGAACCCCCCTCACTGGCTTTTCATTGACTTCAGGAGTCAGACTTGATGATCCTGGTGGGTCCCTTCCAGCTCAGAATGTTCTGTGACACCTGAGCTCTGCTCAGCCCTGTTCCTACCGACAATCCCAGAGGCAGAGCTGCAAATTCTGGGAGCAAACTACACCTAAAGCAGGTTCCTACAGCAGGCAGCCCATTCATTCCCTGGGATATGGCCATTATCTCGTCCCAGTTTTCCATGGAAGATTTTGACTTCCTGTTGGAGGTATCAGATCTTAACAGGTACCACAAAGAGGGGTCAGTGATGGGATTCAACAAAGGCTGGTCCTCTGGGGGATTTCAGCAGCTGCTGGAGGAAGGGCCAGGGGAAGGGCCCAGCCCTGCAGCTCCCACGCCATCCCACCCACGCCTCACTTACCGTGCGGTCCTCCAGATACATTGTTTTTGACAGGAAATCAATTCCAATGGTTGCCTGGAAAGAAGGGAAGCATTAGGGACTGCAACCTGCCTTCCAGCAGCTGCAGCTCCCACCGTTCCAAACTCTCTGAAACCTCCACAAAGTTGAGATTAAGCTGGTGAAGTGATCTGCCTTTCAACAGAAGGGATGAAAACAAAGCAACCTGGGTATCTGCACCGGCTTCATTTCACAGCATTCCTCACACAAAACCCCCCTCTGAGGCTGGATTTTAGCCTGAGACATTCATGGATCTCAACACAGATCACAGCTGAACCGGCAGCTCGTTCTGGCCTACCCCAGCTCAGCCTGGGAAAAATTATCTTATTAGAAATAACCAAAAGGTAGAACAAATGAGATATATAAATCATGGGCAATTCAAAGCTAAAAAGCCACATTTACTCAGGGCTTTCCACTTCAGAAGGTGCTTCCCTTCCAGTGACACTCAGAAGCTTCATTTCTCAGGCCGTTCTTTCTGCAAGTCTCCATCCATTCACATTCCCATTGCTACAGCAATTCCAGTAAAAAGACATTTAAAATAAGGTACTAAGTTAGAGGCACTCCCAGGCACTTCAACCAAGCTGCTGTCCCAGCCCTTCATAACCCCAGGAAACAGGAGACAGCTCTGATGTAGCAGATTTTAGTGTTTTAGACATAGATGATCTTTAATCTTAACACACACAGGCAGCACCGAAGGACTCCAGCAGAACATGGACCATGGAATACTAAAAAAGACCACCACAGTCAATTTTGGGAGGGAGAACTTATTTTTGGGAGGCCTATTTTCTAGCCAGGACAAGGTTAATAAATCTTAATAAGCACACAGATCTCTGCCAGCACCCTACAAAAGCCAGGAAAGGAAACACCTGAAGCACAAGAAGATCCAGTTCCAGTGAATTATTTGTCCTCAACTCAAAATTACCCCAGTCTAAACCAGTAACTCTTTCTGGCTGAATTAAAAGATAACCCCTAATCTCATCTGCTTTAAAGATATCTGATATTCCCCTGAAATACTTCTAAGTGCCTCTGAAGCAATTAATTCTTCCTAAAAATCTTCAGGCCTCTTACACATCTTCTCCTTTTCATCTGCAGCCTCTTCATCCCCACCCTCCTCTTTCCCTGCCAAGACTTCCCTGGCTCTTCCTATCTTTAGTCTTTTAGTTAAAAAATAGTAATAAAAAAAAATGAGATACTGAATATACCAAAGCTGACTTCTTGCAGATCCATCTATACACTCCAGACTCAACTACTCCTACTTAAATGGAAGCTCTAAAGATGCCGGAGACCAAGAATTATCACAAGATGTTCCTATCTTATTCATCCTCTGTTTCCAGAGACTCCCAAATCCATCACCAGGTATCCTGACCATCATCTTCTCCATCAGCCAGACCCATAAATCAGTGTTTCTCCCCATCTTTCTCAAGGCTTCTCACATATCCAAACAGGATCTAAACCCAGCTGCCTTTTTGTACACTGGATTTCCTGACATCATCCTGGATGCTCTGGTTTAATCATGAAGCCTCATCTCTCTTTCACGGCACATTTTAACCTTTTATATGATATTTAACTGACACCTCATGGATCAATGTGCTTGGCCCTCACAGGCATAAATTTTAACAGCAGGGAACAGATTTAACCATAAATATTCTCAAAAAATTAAGATAAAATCCTACCACATACCTGGTAAGTATTGTCAAAACTGTCATACATAAACCTGGTGATCAGGGAGGTCTTCCCAACTACAAGAGAAAAGAAAAATTACTTTCAAGCAGCAGTGGAAAAAAAAAATAAGCACTGCTTTGGGAGTGGCACTGATCTGAAAGCAGCTGCCAATCTCAGACCATTCCAACCACACCTTCCTGGGAAATAACCAGCTAGGAAAATCATTCCCAAAATGACAGAGGCAAATCAATCTCTGTAGGTCAAAAATTAATCATGGTGATGGCCTGGTCCTCCAATCAGGTGTGTTGCCATGTAGATAACAAAGAACTGGTTGTTTGCTTTAAGCAACCCACAAATCTGCTTTGTTCCTCGTGCTCTGCTACTTATGTAATCCCCAAGCCTGGGACACAAACATCAAAACAAACCAGGTGACACCCCAGTTCTGCTGCCTTTGGCTGCACGGAAAAGCAACATCCAAGACTTGCATCCTTTCTTCCTTCATAATGAGATTTTAGATACAGAGCAAAGTCTGGTGGTTTGCTTCAAAACTTTACATTTACATCTCTAAATTTTATCAAGACACAAAATGCAGAACTGATATGAAACAGGAAACAAGGAGAAGATCTCTGATTCTTGCTCAGGAAGGCAAGAAAAATTTGAAGGACATGGATGGAAAAGTGAAAAGGAATTAACTGCCTAAAAAGGTTGTGAAATTATGAACATTGGAGAGGGTTAAAAGCAGGTTAGACAAATGTCTACCAGCAGCAATGTCAATCCTGCCTTGGTAAGGCAGGGGAATTGGAGAACTTCTGGAAATTCCTGCAAGAGCTACAGTTCTGGGCTGGAGCAGTAAGAATCCCAGGACGGTCTGGGATTGAAGAGACCTCAAAGCTCACCCAGTCCCACGCCCTGCCATGGGCAGGGACACCTTCCACTGGACCAGGTTGCTCCAAGCCCCATCCAACCTGGCCTTGGACACCCCCAGCAAAGAACACCACGATTCCAAGGAAAACACACAACTCATCCATTAATTTTGCGGGATGGGGCACAAAAGGGAGTCAGCTGGAGAGAAAACAAAAAACCCCGAGGCTGGAAGGGAGGCAGAGCAGGGCCGAGCACCACCCGGGAGCCCCCGCATCCCTCGGGCCGCTCCCGCACGGGGCTGCGGGCGCACTGCGGACCGGCCCGGCGGGTGGGAACGGGGACCCGGCGGGTGGGAACGGGGCCCGGGGCACCGGGAGGGCCCCGGCAGGAGCAACCCGAGCCCCGTGCCCCCGCCCGCCGAGGCCTCAGGCCGGGCCGCCCCTCCCCGCGCCCGGCGGCGCGGCCCCGCATCCCCGGGCCCCGCGACCCCGGGCCCCGCATCCCCGGGCCCCGCATCCCCCAGCCCCGCACCCCCCGGCCCCGCATCCCCGGGCCCCGCATCCCCGGGCCCCGCATCCCCCGGCCCCGCACCCCTCTGCCCCGCATCCCCCGGCCCCAGCGCGTCCCCCGGCCCCGCCCGCCGCCCCGGGCGCTGCCCCCGGCCGGGCCCCGCCGCCCCGGGCGCGCTCACCGCTCTGCTCGCCCAGGAACACGAGCTTGAACTTCCTGAGCGGGTTGCCGAAGTCGCCGCCGCTGCCGGGCGCGGACATGGCGGCGCGGGGGGGCCGAGCGGGAGCCGTGATGGGGACAAGGAGACAGCGCCGAGCGCTCCGGTACCACCGCCCCGCGCGTCACCTCCGCCGCGTCACCGCCGGGCCCGCCCCGGGGAGGCGCGTTGCCATGGCCACGGGGGAGGGCGGTTACCCGGGCAACGGGCAGGGCGGTTGCCGTGGCGACGGGGAGGGCGGTTGCCGTGGTGCTGGGGAGGTTGCCATGGCGACGGGGCGGCCTGCGGGGGGGATGCTGCGGCTCGGAGCGGGATGGGCCCGGCTGTACCGGGGAGGGTTGTACCTGGCTGTGCTGGGGGTGGGCGCAGCTCTACTGGGATGGGTCTGCCTGTACTGGGGTGGTTGTACAAGGATAGGCCTGGCTCTACTGGGGATGGGTGTACCGGGATAGACCTGGCTCTGCTGGGGATGGACCCAGCTTTACTGGGATGGGCCCAGCTGTACCAGGGGTGGTTGTACTGGAGGGAGTCCAGCTGTACTGGGAATGGGCCTGGCTGTACCAGGGGAAGGCCCGGCTTTAGCGAGGATGGGCCAGGATTGTACTGGGGATGGGCCTGGCTGTACTGGGGAGGGCACCCAGGCTGTACTGGGATGATCTCAGCTGTACCACAGATGCACCTGGGCTGTACCAGAGATGGGCCTGCCTTGTACCTGCTGTACTGGGGACCTGGACAGGAACAGGTCCCCTGGGTCCTGCAGTGCCTCACCCCCCCACAGCCCCTGCCCCAAAGGCTCAGAGCCCCCCCCAGCCCTGGGTGGCCCCCACGCCCCCGCAGCACAACACGGAGCCTGCACCGGGCACCGGGCGGGTTTATTGAGATCAGTGTCACAGAGCTGGGCACAGCTGGGCAGGTGACAGATGTGTGGGTGACATGCTCGGCCGGGGCCACCACACCCACCCTGTCCCTGTCCCCTCGCTGGCACCATGGGAACAGGGAGCACTGGGGGGCTTTCCAGCATGGCAGCACCGGGATGAGGTGCAGCAGCTCCTGCCACCACTACCAGGGCTTGGAGGGGGTGCCAGGAGCCCGGGGAGGGGGGCACCTATGGGGACTGTGAGGGGCTGAGGGGCTGCACCGTGTGGGCACAGCAGGGAACGCTACGGGCAGCTACATCCCAAACCAGGGACGGCCGTGTGGGACCAGCAGCTTAACCCTCCTTCTCGGCTTCCTCCTTCTCATCTTCATCGTCCTTCTCTCCCTTGAGCTTCTGGCGAGCAAATTCCTCGATGACAATGTCCTCCTCACTGGAAGGCAGAGCAGAGCACGGTGAGAACACAGGATGCACCAGAGTGAGGAGGGGAAATCCCTGCTGGCCCCCAGGCCCTGCTCCTACACGGTGGTCACCCTGGCCTCATCACCCCACAGGGAACACTCAGGTCACTGTGAGCCTGAGCCCAGCACACAAACCCAGGCCCCATCACTGGCTCCACTGTGAGCCTGTGTGGCCCAAGGAGCTGGGCCTGCAACTTCTGGTGTTTTTCAAGGCAACATTTTGCATTGTCAAGGAAAAAAAAAGGGAAGGAAAATAAATGAAAGTGGCGACAAAGAGCTGAGCTACTTCCTTGAGAAAGGCAAATGGCAGGTGACAGTGAGGGAGAGCCACAAAGTGAAAAGTGGGGGAGGAAAACAGAAAAAAAGGGTCAGCAAAAGTGATTCCAAAAGCTTGGGAATGTGAAATGACTTGGCAAATCCTACAGGAAGCCGTGGTGGGGACAGGCCAAGAGGTTTGCTCCACTGGAAGTTTAAATATCCTTGCTGAGCTGGTAAAGGGACAGTGTTAAAGAGGTTGGTGTGACAGCCTGCAGTTGGACCCTGGGTTTCCAGGCCTCAAATCCTAGTATTCGTTTCCCATTGCAGGGTGTAACCAGACACAAAACCTTTGGGGTTTTACAAGCCAGGGCTGTGGCTGCCAGGAATGGGTTTGGCATGCTGTGGCTTCCCAGAGGGAAGCAGCCTCTGCTGTGGCTTCAGCTGGAACGAGATGATGTGGTGGGAGGACAAGAGGTCTCTGGTGCTAGGGAGCATTTAGGGGCACAGGGATGTGACTTCCAGCAGTTGAGGGACCTCACTGTGGGGATCAAGGCCATGGGGACACTATGTCCAGCAGTGGCACTTGTGGCTGGAAGAGCATTGCCAGCTGCTTCTGACAGGGACAGATCTGTGTGGTTGCTGTGTTAGAGGGAACATCTCTTTACCTTATCTTAGCTGTAGTCCAGTGATAAGCACAGCACAGGGAGAAAGGATGGGGAGAGAGAGATGTGCAGGTTAGTACAGAAAAGACATCCCAGCTAACAGCTCTCCTTAATGCCTGGGTGTTTTTGTGGAAAGAGGGACACTGGAAAGGGTGCTTTGGGGAGAACTGCTCCCACACCACTCCGTGAAAGAGGGTGAGTGCAGCCCAGCTGGACAGCTGTGCCCATCCCACAGGAGAACTGCTCCCACCCTGCTCCAGGACACAGGGTGGGTGCAGCCCAGCTGTGCCCCCCCCCAGCCAGGGCAGAGCAGGGCCCTTTGCACAGGTTGTATCAGGGTTGCTTTCACTGGTTCCCCTCTGAACCAGAGCTGCCCCTTCCTCCCCATGCTTTGGCAGCATCCCACACTCTACTTACACTCGTCAGGCTTGGGGTGCATGAGGATGACGGGCATCTCGACACCGACATCGCTGGAAGGAAAAGCACCTCTGTCAATGATCCCACCCAGAACCACACTGTGCCCGGCCCCACAGGCAGCTCCGCCTTACCTGGAAGTGAGATCCCCCAGGATCCTGTGGCAGCAGGAGAGAAGGCACAGAAATCAGCCAAGGCAGAGGAGGGGAGGTGTTAGACTTTGTTTTATAATAGGGTAGAAGGTGATTGATAGTAGGGGTGATGGGGCCAGAGGGGTAGGAGTCAGAGAGCAGCCCACTGCCCCACAGAGCAGGGGAGCAGGGCAGGGGTGAGGGGGCCCATGGTCTGAGTCCCCTCTCCATCTCCCTGAAGACGCAAGATCCCCCAGCACAGCCCGAGGGGACAGTCCCTGATCCCCATGCCCACGGAGCCTTACCCTCCTCGGGACACCATCAGGTTGACCTTCACTTTGTAGGACACCAGGATGCCCAGCACCTCCTTGTCCATGCCGGCTCTCAGGCTAGGAGGAAGGCAGAGAGAAGCAGTGAGGGGGCAGTGCTGCCCACAGGTCCCATCCACACCCCCCATGACAGCTCCCAGGGCTGTATCCGTGTCCCCTCTATGTGTGGGATTTAGCAGGAAAGGACAACAGGAAAAGAGAGGGGAGGGCAGAGCACTTGGCTGAAGCCACAGTGCAGTTTCTGGAAGCTCCTTGAACTGCCCGAGCTGGGGTTTAGTTCCAAGACAAGATCCAGCTCTGCAGAGAGATCCAGCATCTTTGGACAGTGTTGGGACTGGAAAGCTGCATCTCTCCTACAGGATGGAGAGGTGGGTCTGTGTCACAAAATCCCTAAGTTTTCCAGCCGGGCAGGGTGGGCTCAGGCACAGGAGGTGTGGGAGACCCTCAGAGGGACCCCAGAGCACCCTGAGCAGTGGGAAGCTGTAAGAGTGGGGAGCAGGGGGACCCCACCCAGCTCTCACATGGTGGTGGAGGCCAAGTTGGTGTCCTCGTGCTTGAGCTTCCCATCGAGAGCGAGGCCTCGCTTCTGGCGGTTGGCCGAGAGCAGGGGGGTCACGGAGTACGTTTTGGAGAAGGTGGAGTTGGCTGCCACAGTCTCACTGGAAAGAGTGGGAGAGGAGGGCTCAGAGCCAGCACCAGGCTGGTGAGTGTTCAGTGTCACCTCAGTCACCTGTGCAGAGCCAGCCCTCCCACCCTCCCCACGCAGCTGCCAGGGCCTGTTTCCTCCTTTCATTCCCCCCCACAACCACTTCTTTTTTTTCTCCCCCCAGCCTTTGCTCCGTCCCTCCTCGTTCTCAGGGGTGCAGAGGCTGTGGCTGCCCTCAGAGATGCAAAGTGAGGAGAGGAAGAAGCCAGGGGGCAGCTGTGCACCTTCCCCAGGGACCTTCCTGGCTGCCACCAGCTTGTGCTGGGGCCACAGGGGCCACGGTGTTCCCTCTCCTCTGCTTCCTCCGCACCTGCTCTTCTAACCCTGATATTTTTGCTGCTTGGTGTAAAACTGTCTCCCACACCCCTTCTCCCCCTCCCTCTCCCATCCTCCTCCTCCTTCTTTCTCTTCCTCCCTCTGGCTGAGATGCCACATCACCTCCAGCCCCTTTTTCCTTACTTTATCTCCTCGGTGCACACAGTCTTTGTGTATTTATCCAGGGAATAGAGGACCACATCTGTGATCTGATCCACTGAGGGGACACAAGAGAGAGTCATGTTGGTGGCGTGGTAGAGGCACAGACACACCGTTCCCGTCTCTGACAGGGAGACCGGGATGTGGTGGGTGCCAGGATGTGCCCCTTGTGCCCCCTCTCACCCGAGATCTTAATTTTCTTCACCATCTTGTTGGTGGTGTTGTTGATGTTGACGGTCACGTTGATGGGCTCTCCATGGTAGTAGATCTGCAGCGGGAAGAGGTTTGGTTACATGGTTACCCTGCTCCCCATTCCCGGGGTGGCAAGAAGCAAGGGAGAGCTCCCTACTGACCTCCTTATCCAGGGAAGCCTCGAGGTGCAGAGGCTTGTCTGACATCATGAACTGCCGGGTGGTCTCCGCCTTCGGGGCCGGCCCCGTCTGCGTCGGGGCGAACTGCACCTTGCGGATGATGAGGCGCGCGGAGTTCCTGCGGGATGGGAGGGCTCACCCCCAGTGTCCCACCAGGGGCACGTCCACACCACCTTCCAGGGGTCACAGTGACAGTCACAGTGTCTCCAGCCAAAGGGTGCACATTGCAACCTGCTCTTAGGACGTGACATGGGACCACTGCCCCTATTTCGGGCAGAATACCCCACCCAAACATGGCACAAGCTGACAGCAGGCCCTTGGCTTGACCTCTACGCTGGTCACCCCAAAAAGATCCTGTGGTTCAGTTTTAGGGCCGTGGGGCAGAAAAGGCATCCCTTGAAAATACCTTTTGTGAATTTTCTCCTCCAGGTTTTCAGCACAAAATCCCTTCACCTCGAAGTCCACACCGCAGG